CTCTCTCTCTCTCTCTCTCTCTCTCTCTCTCTCTCTCTCTCTCTCTCTCTATATATATATATATATATATATATATATATATATATATATATATAAGCCACCGAACACCAGGAAGACTAACCATGACAGAAACAGACGGAACAACCATTATGCGACACACACAGCACAATTCTCAAGCAGCCTTTTTTTTCGCGGCCCCCCCCTTACGAGGCACTGCTTTCCTCTTCTTCGCGCCTGCTCTGCTGCCATCCGTCTTCGCCTGTCTGGCCTCCATCCGTCGCTTCCTCTCCTCTGCTCTTACCCTCTCGTCCAACATACCTTCATATTTCTCCACCCAGCGAGGCTTCGACAACATATCCACCAGCCTCATGTCCTTGACCTGGATCGTCACCCTCTTCGAGTGGATCGCGACCTCGTTGGTGTTCTCGAAATTGGCAACCAGGTACGCCTCGGCAGCCTCCATCAAAGCACGCACCGCCGTCATCTGAAACCTCACGCCCGCACCAGGAGCAATGGTCTCCTCCACAACCTCGCGCACCATCCGCAAGAATGGCCTGAAAGCCAAGCAGAGGTCGGTGGATCGTTGCAACTTCCTGATTTCCGCTAGAGTTGCCATCCCGGGGCGTCGAGGGCGTCTGTGGGGCTGACTGCGTGCATCTGCAGTGTCATCGGTGGCTGACACGGGCTTCGGGCTCTTCTTCTTTTTGCCTGCAGCCGTCTTCCCAGTTGGCGGTTTCGACGCGCACTTCTTCATCTTCCTCGGACTCTGGGACATCGCAGCGTGACTTGGGCTGGCCGTGTCCCCCTGTGCTGCAGAGCACCCTGCGCTACCACCAGGACCACATGCGCCCTCCACCTCAACAGACAAACGGAAAATTCCGGAGCGCTTCTCTGTCCTCTTGCCCTTCCACGTCAATCCACCTGCCAAGTCGTTCTTCTCGACATACCGAATGTCTCGCAGGAGTCCATCTGAGTAGGTCAGATGGAAAGGCACACCAAGTGGGTCTGTGAATGTCATGGTGACGTCTCCACCATGCTCGTATGTCATGGGACATACGACTGGGACCCAGCCAAGAAGGGTCGTGCAACGGTGCCTGCGGCGAATGTGAGTCATGTATATGTTCTCACCGTCGCTGTGCTCTTGCCTAGCGCAACTCCCCTCAACCATGGACCACATCCTCTGGTCTACCATGGAATCGTAACCCGCACACACCATCTGACGGTCCTCCTCCCTGATCTTCTCCCAACAGCGCTTTGCGTGTTCAACCAACAGCACGTGGTCCTTAACATTTACATTGAAAATTGAGACACGTGCCAGAACAACCAGGAACTGCCAATGCTCCACAATGCCTGCATGCATCCATCCCAATGGGAGCCACTGCCCTGACTGCAGCTTTGCCGCCATCGTCACCTTGCCATCAACCACTGCAGGATGCAAACATCCCGGGACCCAATTGACGCGATAGCCATACTTTTCAGGGGCCATACGCTGCTGGAACTGTCCCTCAGGGATGACATGGGCCCCAATGTCCATGGCAGTCAAAACGTCACGCCTCAATGTGACATGGTCCCATATCTGCGACCATAGTCCATCATACGTGGTTTCCTGCCCTCTTGCAGCTGTGTATGTGCCACCATCCTCACCAGAGAAAAGTTCCCCGTCCACCACCTCGAACTCCATAGGGTTCCGAAGCGGCGGGAAAAAGCACCCAGCAGTATGAGGGGGACATGTTATTGCCTTCTTCTCCTCTTCTGACACCTCCCTGTTGAGATGCCTGAAGGAGAACCTGTCATTGATGTAATGCGTGTTCCAGACATTTCCCATGGCATCACGCATCTGCATCCTCACCCGGTCACATGTAATCGGGATCTCATATGATACCAAACCCCACCTAGGATCCCTCCTTGAATCATTCTCGGGGCACACCGTTCTCGCTGCTGCATCGTTCCCACCAATCACCCATGGCGTTCCGCAATCAAAACTGTCGTACAAAAAATTGTTAAGCCTGAACTCGCCCTTCACCTCTAGAACATGCCACATTTTCAACACATGTTGCCCTTTCTCCTGAGCTCTTGCCGCATCGTTCAACCTTATAACTTTGTCAAACACGATTGACAGAGTCACGTTTCGCCATGTGCTTGTTTTGGGGATAGGAAATGGAACCCAAGTCCCAGCCACTTTGAACGCGAAGCAGGGTACTCCTCCAACAATACCCGGTTGAACACGACCAGGCACCCAATTGATGTCATATGGGAAHTGTTCTCYTGCTAATGTCTTGACCACATTTTCATCCTCAACAATACACCCTGCATGATTTTCCCTGCTCCCCAYACCTCCCTCTCCTCTCTCTTCCCCAACCTTTTCCGTCTCACAAGTGCTCCCTCCTGCATCATTGTCTGATTCATCACCATCACCCATCATCTCTGCAGTCTGTGCATATATTGTTGCCAGCACGTCTGCATAGTCAGTGGTGTTCATCTCAACCGAATTCCCTTCCTTGCTGCCATCTGCAAGACCCTTCACAATGTCCTCTGTCTCCATGGCCCAAGTCTCTCCAGCGTTGACAGTCGATGCAATCACGGGTTCCATCTATTGCATGAGACACCACGTACATTTATGAGAACACGTAGCTCCGCCATGTCCCCCTCACCCCACACACAGAGAGAGAGAGAGAGAGAGAGAGAGAGAGAGAGAGAGAGAGAGAGATTTTTGACAGTAGAGAGAGGTTGCTTACTGCGGGTCATAACTCCAACAAACATCACATTCTTGCTAAATACAGACGAAGTAGTGAACCTCTAACAGAGAGACATGCATAGATACAGCAACGGCACGAGGTTCACTACTGCGGGCCAGAGCGACAACAAACAGCACCGCTTAACACTTACATGGCACGCAGTAGTGAACCTTCCGTAGTTGGGAAACTACAGCGTGCTACCACTGCGAGGTTCACTACTGCGGGCCATAACTCCAACAAACATCACTTGAGAGACCGAAATTGGCCGACAGTAGTGAACTTCATACTGTCGGACAGGCTGTGATGCATCGACAGAGGGCGGTTCACTACTGCGGGCCACAACGACAACATACAGCACCGGTTAACACTTACATGGCACGCAGTAGTGAACCTTCCCTAGTAGGGAAACTACAGTGTGCTACCACCACGAGGTTCACTACTGCGGGCATAAATCCAACAAACATCAGTTGAGAGACCAAAATTAGCCGGCAGTAGTTAACCTCATGCTGTCGAACAGACTATGATGCATCGACAGAGGGCGGTTCACTACTGCGGGTCAGAACGACAACAAACAGCACCGGTTAACACGTACATAGCACACAGTAGTGAACCTTCCGCAGTTGGGAAACCACAGTGTGTTACCACCGCGAGGTTCACTACTGCGGGCCATAACTCCAACAAACATGACATGAGAGATGAAAATTGGCCGGCAGTAATGAACCTTGTGGTGTCGGGCAGGCAGTAATGCAGTGACAGGGGGCGGTTCACTACTGCGGGCCAGAACGACAACAAACAACATCGGTTAACACTTATATGACACGCAGTAGTGAACCTTCCGTAGTTGGGAAACTACAGCGTGCTACCACCGCGAGGTTCACTACTGCAGGCCATAACTCCAACAAACATGACATGAGAGATGAAAATTGGTCGGCAGTAGTGAACCTTGTGGTGTCGAACAGGCAGTGATGCAGCGACAGAGGGCGGTTCACTACTGCGGGCTAGAACGACAACAAATAGCACTGGTTAACACTTACATGACACGCAGTAGTGAACCTTCCGTAGTTGGGAAACTACAGCGTGCTACCACCACGAGATTCACGACTGCGGGCCATAACTCCAACAAACATCACTTTACAGACCGAAATTGGCCGCCAGTAGTGAACTTCATGCTGTCGGACAGGCTGTGGTGCATCGACAGAGGGCGGTTCACTACTGCGGACCAGAACGACAACAAACAGCACCGGTTAACACTTACATGGCACGCAGTAGTGAACCTTTCGTAGTTCGGAAACTACAGAGTGTACTCTCACGGAAGGTTCACTACTCCGGGCCATAACTCCAACAAACATCACTTCAGAGACCGAATTGGCTGCTAGTAGTGAACTTCATGCTGTCGGACAGGCTGTGGTGCATCGACAGAGGGCGGTTCACTACTGCGGGTCAGAACGACAACAAACAGCACCGGTTAACACTTACATGGCACGCAGTAGTGAACCTTCCGTAGCAGGGAAACTACAGTGTGCTACCACCGCGAGGTTCACTACTGCGGGCCATAACTCCAACAAACAGCACTTAAGAGACCTTAATTGGCCAGCAGTAGTGAACCTCATGATGTCCGAGAGGCAGTGATGCAGCGACAACGACGGTTTACTACTGCGGGGCAGAACGACAACACAAAGCGCGAGAGGAATATGTACATGGCAAACAGTAGCCAACCACAAGTATGTGAATGCAAGAGAGAGAGAGAGAGAGAGAGAGAGAGAGAGAGAGAGAGAGAGAGAGAGAGAGAGAGATCGCGCGTCCCTGACCACTCGCGCTGCCACGATTTGACATATAGTGTAGAGAGTTTTTAAGCGGTCGTGAATGTGTAGTCCTTTCCTGCAATGCTCACATTTCTGATTCCCTCCATGCTGGTCTGCGTTCGTAAAGACCGGTGGTATAATCTCTTTGATGTATGATATGAGATGGGACAGACAGTCCGCAACCAGCCTCGCCATTTGTCGAGAATTCGCATTTGCAACAAACTTTTCGAATGTGTCCGACGTCATTGGCAGCACAACAGATTCTGCATCAGCAGAAGGTGCTCTGCTGGCAACGACACAAGGGAAGTTGTGACGAACCTGGTGACAGTTCATTGTTGTAACATCGGTGCATACGAGCAGGGGATGCGGCGCAGGCGCAAGTTCCACGACACTGGTCCCGATCACTCTGGACGTTTGCATTGTTGTGTCGAGTTCTTCACTCGCCTTCGACCTTTCACCTTCTGCACTTCCCATGACAACTTCATTCACGTATGTCACCGTCAGTTCTCCACCCAACAACCTACCTCGAGTGTGTTGCAGGGCATCCATGACGTCCGCGCAACTGCTCAACAGAGATGCCATATTGCTAGGAAGGTCATCCTTAACAGACGTCACACCCTCGTCACAAAGACCGTATTATTCCACAGTTTCCATACAGTGTCGAGTACAGTCTTCTACGAAGGCCAAGAGGTCAACGACACTGCGTCCCGAAGCAGATAGCGAACCTGTAGTATACGCTTGGCTATCGTAGGATGCCCACCCCTCCTTCAGCACACACTTGCCAGGGCTGACACAAGATGCGACATTCCATCGTTGTGATTCCCCCTGAGTTTTCTCTATGACATGGGCTGCGAACCGATTCAAGACCGCAGTGCGCCTGCGCCTTTCAATATCCAACCATGTCTGGAACTCATCAAACGTGGTGGTCTTTGTTTCAGCTATTGCGTTCAGTCTGGTAGACATGTCCTCCCTCAGAGGAGTTATGTCTAAACATTTAGGATCGTCCAGTAACAACCAGAACACGGTGAACATCCTGTGTTCCGCAATTTCTGTCATTTCGCCGAGCAGTGACTTAACACGGCCTAGTTCATCCGAGAACTCTTTCACCAATTGTTTCTGCTTATCCACCTCCTCTCTTAGCCTGTCTATATGTTCTCGCTGTTTGTCTACTATACGACCCTTGTTGGGTTCCATGTCAGTCGTCTTATCTTCTTTGGCCCCCGGTAGTAGAAAGTCATCCACCGTTGCATGACACTCTTCGCCCGACTTTCTCTTCTGTCTGATTTTGGCCACTCTTGACATCTGGAAACGGTTGTATATACAGAGAAATACGTGTGGAGAGAGAGAGAGAGAGAGAGAGAGAGAGAGAGAGAGAGAGAGAGAG